AAATATTGAGAATTAGAATGGTCTCGTCAGATTTAGACTGGGTAAAAACAGATATTGATGGAAAAGTAGTTTTTAATGGCCCACACAATCGCCGGCACCATGACGCACTCACGACCGGTACGTTCAACATTTCCCCTAAATCTTTGACCAGGGAAACACAACCAAATCACATGAATACTTGTAAGGATGTCTGGTTTTACACTGCACTACCACCACGAACAATTTGGACGGCTAGTGAATGGAAAGAAAAGGCGCGAGAAAAGTTAAAACCCAACTGATATTGTTATTGATGCTGATTAGCTGCTGCAAGTATGACAGACTGATGCAGACGCCACGGATGACTTAGAGGCTAGCTTGTGGATCGTAAGCTACGGGGCGGACAAGGCTCTCCAACATATCACGGTACTGATCAGCTACCTTCATAGACGCCCCGTGTTTGTCCAGAAGAATGGCAAGAGGACGTTCATCCTCGAAATGTTTGCAGAGAAACTTGAAATCTTCTTCAGAAATTATGCTGTTCACAGCAACACGAACCATTGACTCTAGTTCTTGGGGGAGACCTCTGGCCTCGTTCTCCTTGACCTCACGTAGATGAAGTTGACGAGCGACTCTTTTTTCAGTGTTGAAATCCGAAGACGAGAGAGTGACGACGCTTGGATCAACTAGGCCCATGGACGATCGGATCGACAGCGCATGGTCAGCGGACGCAGAGATTAGAAGAAGTAGAAAGTCGAGACGCATCTTTCCGGTTAAGAGCAAATAGCGCAATGAGCTTTAGTTCAAACCTCTATAGCTAGCGACTCGAAAAAAAGAAACGGCTGGCATTGCGTGAGCTGGCCCCTCGTGCCAATCGGATGTGCCATACCTGTTTAAGCTGAAGAAATATTTGATTGCTACTTGCTGTGGCCGCAGGGCCGGAATTCAATACAGACAATGTATGTCGTATACAAATGCGCGAAAGGTCCCTTATTCGAGCATTCCTCCGAAAATCTGAATTTGCGTTGTCCTTCTTATATTCGCTCGTTATTTCAAATTACTGCCATGTGTCTCACCTTTCAGGGCTGCAGCTGCAACTTACGTGATGCAAACCTCTGTGATACTACGTCTCTGCCTATTCTTCTTTGCTCGTGCTTCTGCTCGTAATGCTTCCGTTTATGTGAGTGGGACTTTCACCGATCAGCTACATTTGTATACCTCTGTTCTACTGCATCTCTGCCTGTTCTTCTTTGCTCGTGCTTCTGCTCGTACTGCTTCCGTTTATGTGAGTGGGATTGTCACCGATCAGCTACATTTGTATACCTCTGTTTACTGCATCTCTGCCTGTTCGTCTCTGCTCGTGCTTCTGCCCCTACTGCTTCCGTTTATGTGGTAAAACTGTCACCGATTAGATATCCGGGTCCGGACATATTAGGTCTGCATGTTATTCTTGCAACAGATCTCCGTCATCATCGTTCTGTGAAGTCGGTCTTGCATCCCTGGCAAAGCCACGGAATGTCGCCACCGTTCGGGTCTCGCTTACTCTTAGTTGTTTTCCACAATCAAGCCTGCGTTTTGTCAAAGCGTGTGGGCGGTTCCTTCCTCCAGCCTATTCAGCACGGCCAGACCTTTTTCTCTGCTTCATTCGACAGCTGCCGGTGTGCACCTCTGTTCTACCACGTCTCTGCCTGTTTTTCTTTGCTCGTGCTTATGCCCCTACTGCTTCCGTTTTTGTGGTGGAATTGTCACCGATCAGCTACAAATGTATACCTCTGTTTACTGCATCTCTGCCTGTTCTTCTTTGCTCGTGCTTATGCCCCTACTGCTTCCGTTGATGTGAGTGGGACTTTCACCGATCAGCTACATTTGCATGCCTCTGTTCTACTGCATCTCTGCCTGTTCGTCTCTGCTCGTGCTTCTGCCCCTACTGCTTCTGTTTATGTTGGTGGGATTGTCACCGATCAGCTACATTTGTATACCTCTGTTCTACTGCATCTCTGCCTGTTCTTCTTTGCTCGTGCTTCTGCTCGTTCTGCTTTCGTTGATGTGGGTGGGACTTTCACCTATCAGCTACATTTGTATACCTCTGTTCTACTGCATCTCTGCCTGTTCTTCTTTGCTCGTGCTTCTGCTCGTACTGCTTCCGTTTATGTGGGTGGGACTTTTACCGATCAGCTACATATGCGTAACTCTGTTCTACTCTGTAAAACAGTTACTCGTAGTTGGGTACTTGGTACCCTGTGTCTCAGACACACGGATGATATCCCACTAAAAGAAGTATAGAATATCTCATCGGCTGATAAGGGCTGACTAATTTCAGCCATTAGACAGAAGAGATCTTAGTTCAGTAAATCTCACCATCAGCACCATTGGCCAAAAGTCTCATCATCAGCACCTGTCTCAGAATCAGCACCAGCTTACTAATGATTAAGTTTACATCACCTTATATTTCTTCTATAAGTGGACCTGTGACAATCGCGTTTATAAAGAAGCGCTATATAGCTGGCGAATGCTGTAACGAGGTGAATCGTTACATAACAATTTATAAGAAATTGTTAATAGAATATAACTATAAGCGTTCTATTCTCAGAATATGGCCATGAGGACAAATATTCTGGAGCACTTACGAGTAGTTCCTAATTGGTTGATAGAGGCCATTATATCAACCAACGAAGACGCGCCACGACAGACGCACGCAATGAGTGGTGAGCAGATAGTTGATACGCACAATTGCATTGAGACATAGTTAGATGAAGATAAATAGTGGTTTAATGCAGACATTAACTATGATAAATACAGTTCTACTTTTTACTTTAACCAAGTTCTCACTTCTTCTTACCGTCTTCCTCTGCACGTACGAGTGTACGTGAAGTTCCGAGGCACCGCCTTATTCTGTCATCAGAATTGGTAGCTTGTACTGTCACCAGTACAAGCTTCAGGGTGCCCCGTTACACCTGGTAGCACTTCGTAGTCCGTCCAAGGACCACGTTCACATCTAATATGAACATGTTGGATGATGAAGACGACCAAAGCTTTCACGCTACGCGTGACGGCTACTCCCATTTGAGCGATGTCGAATGGGAGGTAGTCGGCCGCATGAGTGTGCTCATGGGCGAACCCGCCATCGATGGCATAATGGAGTCTATCAGCAAAGACCAGCAAAATGCTACTAAAAATAAATTCCTACAATGGGAACTCACCGTCGAAATACAGAAGAGAGCCTTGCTACAACAGCAAGGCTCTCATCAATCGTTGGGCAGGCCGACGCACATGCGTCGACCCGAAACCTTAAAGATCGATATCCCAAGGTACAAGGAAACCGATGAAGGTTCTTTTTTGAGATGGTTCGTCGAGTTAGACGACGCCATCAGGGCCCGTCACATCGAGGGTGACGCGATGCAAGTCACCTTCGCCCTGCCAAATTTGACAGAACGAGCAAAGACTTGGGCCTTAGGGCTGAAGCTTCACGACCCAAACGTGTTTAAGTCGTAGGAGATCTTAGCGTCTCGGCTAAAAAAGACGTTTGATCAGCCGAGAGCCGAGTTCAGAGCACGCTCTGCACTCCTGAGGCTCAAGCAAGGTTAGCGTGATGTGCATGCTTACGCACAACATCTACGCTACCTTGCGAGTAGAGTCGTAAAAAACCCTGTTGATGAGCACAAGCTCACCTACATGTTCTCAGAAGACTTCCAAACGCTGGAAAAGGCGATAGCTTATGTGGAACAAAAAGACTTCAGCCTAAGACAGTCTCAGGCTTACTCGTCCAACTATCGTCCGACGAGACTACAGGAAACAGGAGGTCCCGGACCGATGGATCTCAGTTACATCTAGAGCGAGAAATCTCGCTCTCTGAGTCACAAGCGAACGGTGAGATGTCATCGCTGTATGAAGCTAGGACACTACGCTCATGAGTGTAGTGTCCCAAGCACCGCAACACGTCCAAAGATAGGACGTGATGACCAAGGAAAGGTCCGAGGCGTGGGTCAGACCATGTCGCTAAGCCGCGACAGCAAGTCGGGCCGCCAAAAATGGACAGGGTCGGTAGGGGCGGAGCACCCGGCTGATCTAGCAACGTCAAGAGATTTGCAGGGCTCTTGACGAAGATTACTCCCAACATACTGTCTCTGTGTGTCACTGTTCTTAGTGATGAGTAGTCCCTCATCACTTTAAAGATCGAAGTGACAAGTGGAATGTCACTTTCGCGCCCTAGTTGACTGTGTGGCGTCAAACAGTTTTATTCGACGCCAGTCGCTGGAGGATAGTAGACTCAACTATGTTGAGCGAGTGCTCCCTCCAACGAGGATGATGGTGTGCCTTGCTACAGGCGCATCCGTAACACTGAACAAACGTGTAGTGGGAATCTACTACACGCTAGAAGAAAAGCAGTACGATGATGAATTTATCGTACTGGATTTGGACGACAAGTTTGATGTCATCCTTGGTCTGCCATGGCTTAGAAAGTACCAGCCATGGGTTAGCTGGCAGCGGCGATCCGTGAAGATGCCTGCCGTTTGTTCATCTGATTGCCATCTGATGAACATCTTGGAGCGCCCACAAGCGTGTGGGTGTACTACAAGTGAGTGCGATGGCCTCACTTGTTGTACGGTCGTTAGTACGACTACACAAGATAACAGTGTAGAAGGCCACTACACTGTGGAACCAGTTTCCGGCACCTGTGTAGAGACAAAGGTTGTGCCGAAGGTTCACCACTTGAAGAGATCGAGTGGGCTGAAACATGGATGCACACCAAGATGGGTGCATCCAAGAAGAGAGATTAGCGTTGTTCAGGGTGAACAACACGTTACAGCAAGATCGACTAACATAGAGTCGATCGTACAGCAAGCCCGATCGATTGAAAGAGATTAGATCGAAGAAGAAGTGACTGTGGTAGTGCACCCACAGTCAGTACACGTAATGGAAGAAAGTTCCAGCGTTCCTCAGAGTGATAACTCCCGAGAGAGTTATGTTGAGGGTGTGAATCCCCAATCACCTGTGGGTGTGTTTCCCAGGAAATCACCGAGACCATGAATGTCTTGGTGAATAACGGATCAAGTGTAGGCGCTTATACACTTGATCTGGTTACGCCCCCGAAGTCAGCTTCGGAGGTAGTCAAGTTGCCAAGGGTAGAATCTAAAAGATTCTTGCGAGATCTGCGTAGTGACAAGATCAAGCAGATCTGTGTACTTGTCACAGAGGACGAGTACGTCGCCGATATTCGGTCGGCACAAGTGTTTGCTAAGAACGAACGGGTTCTCAGTATCTCATCTATGGACGAGAGTACCCTCGATGAGAAGACTCGGATCGAGCGATACACGTCTCAATCTTGGAGTATCTGAAGACAAATCCTTTGTATAAGGATTTGGTTGAATCAAGGGAATGTTTTCCTTGAATCTGTGCCATGCGAGTTGCCTGAAGACAAAGGCACTCGGCAAGAAATTAAACTGAAACCCGGTTCGAAATACTGTGTCATGAAGCAGTGGCCACTGTCTCGTGAACAGGTCACAGCGATCGACAAATTCTTTGCCGATCGCTTAGCGGCTGGTCATGTGAGGGAATCGACTTCCCCGTCTAGCTCTCCGACCTTCTGTGTGCGAACAGCAACAGGAGGGTAGCGGATTGTGCATGCATTTAACAAGTTGAATGTTAGAAACGGTACCGGCTCAGAAGCCGATACCAAGGAAGGACGTCATCATAAATGGTATGTCAAAGAGTACCATCTTTTCGTCCATGGATCTGATGGATCGATTCGATCAGATCCTAATGCGTGAACGGGACATCCCGTACACAGCAGTGAGCACCCCCAGTGGTATGCTCTGGGAGTGGCTAGTGATGCCACAGGGGCTAAGTAACGCCCCTGCAACGTTCAACAGATGTGTTACGAACCTGTTGCGATCGGTGCGCGATTTCGCACCGAGTTACTTTGACGATGTCTTTGTACATAGCCGGACTATGGATGGAAAGACGGACGTGGAGGTTCATAGAATCCACGTCCGAAGGGTTCTTACACTTATGCGTGAGCACAAGTTTTTCGCGAACCTCAATAAGTGTTTATTCGCAGCGAACGAAATACCACTTCTTGGCTGCATCGTGGGTAAAAACGTTTTGCGCCCTGATCCGTAAAAGATCAAGGCTTTTAGCGACTGGCCCATGCCAGTCGACGTCAAGGGACTTTAAAAGTTCCTTGGCTTGGCGGCGTACTTGCACAAGTACTCGCGCAACTACGCCAAGATGACCGTACATCTCTCTTGTCTGCTAAAGAAAAATGAGAGGTGGTCATGGGGCGCTGAGTATCAGCACTCATTTGAAGGCATCAAGAAAAGCTTAATACAGTCGCCTGTGTTGGCGATTGCAGACCAGGACAGACCATTCCACGTGATCTGTGACGCCAGCGATTTACGATCGGCTGTGCGCTAATGCAGTACGACTCAGACGGCTTTGAGCGCGTCGTCTGTTATTAATCGCGTCAGCTGCAAGAAGCTGAGCGTAATTACCCGGATGCATGACAAAGAACTCCTTGCCATGAAGTATGCACTGGCTAAGTTTCGGGTATATCTCCTACGGCCCTCCATCGTTTATACCGACCACGCGTCGTTACGCACGGCCGTAAACAGTCCACACCTCTCGCAACGAATGGCGAGGTGGCTGTCTTTTTTCGCGGAGTACAACTTCTCCGTCTAGTATAAACTAGGACGACTAAAAATCGTCGCTGGTGCTCTTTCGCGTCGGCCCGATTTCGAGCCGACTGCTCAACCCAACAGTAGGGGTGATCCCACGGTAGCGACACTAACAGTGAGTGTTCCGTCGTCGAATCTGCTCGACGATGTGCGAAAAGCATACGCAGAAGATGAGTCTCTTCTGCGACTGATGGATTACATATCCAATCCGTGTAATTAAGCTTTGAAAAGCTTGTCGTCTCAATACCGCTCTTCAACCGACGGGTATTTCTGTTCGTGATGGACTGCTGCACTATACAGCAGTCAACGGCGACACACCTCGTGTCGTCGTTTCGGCTCATTATGATTTGCGATTGCGCATCATGTATGAGTGTCACGATTCCACCAACAAGTGGGCATCGCGGTAGAGAAAAGACTTACCTCATGGTGAGTCGTGACTTCTACTGGCCCCGCCAGTATGAGTTTGTGCGCAAATACATTCGCGCTTGCGAAGTTTGTCAACGGGTGAAGCCTAGCCCTTCATCCCGCGCACCCTTGCAGCCGCTACCGATTCCGACTACGTGTTGGCAGTCCGCATCGATGGACTTCGTCTTCGGAATCCCAAAGACGTTCACATGAATACTGGTATTCTTGTGTTTGTTGATCAATTTAGCAATATGTTACATCTTGTTGCTGTACCGAAGTCAATCACAGCCCAGGGCTGTGCGCGTGTCTTCATCGATACTATCTTCCGACTTCACGATTTACCCCGTGAACTCGTGTCAGATAGAGACCCCCGCTTTACGGCAGAGTTCTGACAATCCGTGTTACGTTCACTTGGAACACATTTATAAATGTCGACTTCTGATCATCCAGAAAAAGATGGTCAGACGTAACGCGTCAACCGCGTCCTCAAAGAGATACTTCGAGGGTACGTCCACCCGTTTGCGAGTTAGAATGAGTTCTTGCCAATGGCGGGATTCGCCATCAACAACTCGGTGCATACGTCGACAACGCATACAACGTTCGTCGTGAATAGACTGCGCCATCCACGTTTATCCGCCCTCTTAGGCTTTAACTCTATTTTAAGGGGGGGGTGAACTCGCTCAAACAAAAACCGATCTGGTTCTTGCTCATCACCCGTCGACAATGGTGTCGATGTGATGGATGCCGATGTCAATGCGATCGATATAGATGATCATGATGATGACGACGATGCCGGTATGTTTATCATCACAGATGACTGCTAAAGTGAGGCCGATGACGCTTTCACTGGTTAAGACAGCGTTCTTCCAGCAGTGCACACGAAGCGCACTGCTGTTGACAAGGATAAATTAGCAGAGGAATTTCTGCTGACTCGCGATGCGGTTGTCCTCTTCGTTCAAGACTCTATTGCAGATGCACTAGAATGACAGGAAAGAAATTCGGACAAACATGAAAGAGCAAATGTTCTTTCATTTGATGAAGGAGACCTAGTTTTTCTGTCTACAGTAAACTTACCGAAACACGCAGTGACAAACGTGGGCAGCAGTAAATTACTGCCCAAGTACAACGGTTCATTTCGTGTGTTGCGCCGAATGGACAACGCGTACACGATTGAACTGCCCCGTAAGATGCGTACGCATCCTACGTTTTACGTTGGTCGTCTCCGCCCGTACTATCAGTACAAGCCCGTTTCGAGATGCGAAGAACACCTTTGCAGTCAAAAGCCGAGACCACCTTCGAGTGGTCCCGTTTCAACGAGCCAGTCTGGTCGACTAGCGAAGCGACCTGCTCACGCAGTTGAGCGATGTCTCGACGAGCAGCAGTCATCTCGTCACGTAGAGAATGAGCTGGACGTTCATTCTCAAGTTGCGCAAACGCAAACGTGGCACGATCGTCCGAACGATCGTGCGCTAAGTAATTGTAATTATCCTTTACAAGATCATGGAGCTCATGACGCCGATTCCGTTCGTGATCCAGGTCATCTTGCAACTGTTCCGTTACACGGTTCAGCTCCTGAACATCAAGCTGATACGACCCTTGAGTCGGATCAGGTGTTCCTGCCGCCACCACATCCTTTGGTGGACTCAAGCGGTGGTCAACGCTTCCTAGTGGAACGTATTTTGAGCCACCGCGACGTGAATGGCGTCCGGACGAATTATCTCGTCCACTGGAATGGCTATCCACCGGCTTGGGGAAGCTGGGAGCCTCGTGCCCAGCTGATTGTTGATGTTCTGGGTCTCGTGGAGTAATTTAACGAGACCAACCCGCTGCATTCGAAGAAGGGCCGTCGGAAAAAGACCTCCCCGAACGTGAGTACTGGGATTGCAAAGTGTCAATCTCTTCGTCCATCTCAGAAGAGATACGCGTCCTTAAGTAGGGACAATATGGAGGTAGGCCTCCCTAGAGACACGATTCGAGTTGTCCATGCAACCTAGACACGAATCACCCCAAGAGAGACAGGGTAATCCTGCCTCTCTTGACAGCCGGTGCAACTTGTTTTTCACCCCGACTGGGTTGCGCTTCTTAAACCTGATGCGAGCTGCATCAAGTTTACCGAGCCAGGCCTCATGACCAATAAACTCGATGCTATGGATAAGGGCATTCCATCCTTGCACCAAGGCTTTACCGTCTCGAACACGGCTACCCCTTGTACCACCGATGTTTGAAAATGCATCGGTAAAGAATTCTTACTCAGCACGGATAGTTTCCTTGCTGGAATCAGGAATTAAAAGGATACTTCCTCTTACAGTCGAACAACGGGATTCGATCTCGATCGGTAGTCATGCCGGCCGACCGGTCCAACTCTTTGGATAACGGCATCCAACGAGACTCCACATGGGAACGTGGCGTAGGAATTTTGGTACCTGGCCTCTTAATTAATGTCAGCATGAGCACTGACACTAGTGACAGCTTGATCCCTCGAGTTACTTCGCTCATGATGATGTATTGGTGCATCATTACCATCACCACGCGTCCTATCATCGGAAGAATCGCTCGATCCAAAAATCTCAGACATGATGACGCCACGTTCCCCAGAGCCAGTTAACCTAGATCGTGTAGTATCCGCCCCGGATGATCCGGAGGCGTGAGGTGTCGCCTTCGAGTCGGATGCATCATCCGACTCGCCAGAATCGATGAGCTCTATTTCCGACTCATCTAGATTTACGACTCGCGGCACCCGCTGCAGACGCAGTGGATGTACCTGTTGCACGTGGTGACTCACCACGTGGATTTTTCACAACAGCAGGCGACAAATCACCTGCTGCTGAGGTGTGAGAAGTGCTCTCTCCGGCTGCACGAATGCGTGCAGCCGCCTTTCTTGCTGCGACAGTAGCAACTCTCTTGAATTTCGAAACCATGCGTTGGATTGGTAAATAAACGGGATTTGACCAGCAAGTTCTCCCTTTCCGAGAGTGATCGACCGGTGGTCACCCTGTCTTTATTAATTCTTATTCAGTTAACGGGTGATTGATGGTTTAGGGCGGGGTTACATAACGGGGTAGCCCGTTGCATGATATTGACACCAAACGGTGTCACTAGGAAAATTGTCTAGCGTGACAATTCCCTGCCAATATTACCCGAGATGGATTATATTGAGGGAGCACGTTTCCCTTCTAGGATTATATTCATGCGCTGCTCAATGATTGGTTGATATATGACATATCACCCACCAATCGCTGCTAGACGTGCGCAATGAG